ACCCACACATTACATTCCCATCTTTTATATACCAGCGTAACCTATTTCTAGCAAGAAGTAGAACATTCGCCAAAGTACATGATAGTTCTAGAAACAAGAGAGCGTGAGAATTGTCACGTGATCTCGATGACGCAACCAATATTCATAAATTGGTAATTACATACAATACCCTTATAATAATCAGAACACTTCATGAACACAAAACATTTAAGAAATGAATCCTGTTATATAGTATTACCAGATCAGCCTAAATCTTTATTCTTGTAGCAGGCAGATTGAAAATAGAGCTACAAAGGTTTTTTTTTTTGGGGGGGGGGGTAAAGTTTAAAACATAAAGTACTATTCAGTAAAGTACTACTTTTAACAAATTTATCCAAAGACACATTTACTACTGTGTGGCTTTTACACAAATAGCAATAAAGCCAGCTAGACAGTTATTTATTTTTACAAGCATGAGATGTTTATTTTGAGCCTTATTGGGTGTTGTACCTTAAACTGTCACTTCTTTACTAAATCATTCAGTTTATTTTAAGCTACGTATTTGAGTCATCAGATTTATTATTCAGCTGTTTATTTTGTTTTAGTAAATTACCATTGGAGACAACAATTAAGCAAAAACGTTTTTCATACATTGTTTTGAATGACCATTTGCCACATATTATTTTCAGTTTTCCAGTAAGTTCGAGAAGCCTATTGTTGTTTGTTGACTGTCTTTACTATCCACTTGATTCCCATATGGGGGGATGCAACAAAAACTGAAAAAGAAAGTCAAAATACATATGTGTGTTTAACAACAGTTTATTTCTTCAATTTTCATATGAACACATAAAGCTAATATTGAGAGTTCATAAACCCCTTGATCCCCCTCCAACATCTGGAGGGCTCATTATAAAACTTTTGAAAATGTAAACATTGATTCTTATTTTGAATGATATTTTACATCTCTGTGCCATTTTTCATGTAAATTCATGTACTCTGTTATGATTCTCTGAAAACCTCTACCCCACCCCATTACAAGAGCTCCACTGTAAAAATTTCCTAAGCCTGAAATTAGATTATTGCTTAGCATAAATGATAATCTTTTTAAGGAAATCAGTTTTGTCGAATCTAAGAGTCTCCCAAAAACCTCTCTATCTACAATTTTTGGGGCTCTCTCAATGTTCTTTTAAAAAATACTTTCCACAACTTATAGTCTGTGTGAGTTGGCAGCCTAGTTGCAAGATGAAAGTCATTTTGTCGAAAATTGTGAAAGTAGTTCAGAAATCAAGTATATAGATAAGAATGAGGGTTACTACATACAATGAATTTTTGCATATTTCTAAAGAAGGATGGGCAAGATCAGTGACTAGAAGTCGGTATCAGAGTTAGTATTCAAGGAATGTCATTAAAATACTTAAAGTATATAGAAAAATGTGACACCATTGGGGTCAACAAGAACAAAATGGCAAATGATTACATTTTGCCCAGAGAGGGTAGTATTACATACACACAAAAAAAGTTTGCATGTTCAACTAAGATTTTTATAAAATGTCATTTTATCATCTTTGTCTGCACTTAACTAAAAGAGTTTCATGTTAGTTTATGATTCTATTACATCTTAATACATCTTAAAGAAAAAAAAGGAATTGCCACAGAAGCAAATAATGAATATTGGGATTATCTCATCATTTATCGTAATGCCAAATCTACAGTTTGAAGTTTTAAAAGTAGTTTTTAACAGAAAGACATATTTATATAATACTACATGACATATCAAAATATCTAAGCAATACAAGTTGGGAATGGTGAAATACAGGGTTCAAAGGTCAAGAAATGTATGTAACCATAATGAGATAATACAATATAGTCCTATGAACATGATATAAGACATGAATTTGGAGTATATAAGAAAACTTTTCATGTATTTGGCTTTACTTTTTTCATGTTTCATGTTCTATAATACATGAAATGAATTTCATTTAATCTGAGGCTACTTTTGGATCATAAAACAGATTATGGATGACCACTTTGCTATTGTGCTTCTCTTAGTCTATTTTTATGACTTTTACATTATTTTTTCATGATGATAACCAAAATATTACTTTTACCACGTTTATGCCAAAGATATAAAACAGTATTATCATTATCCTTTGAAATGAAAGCTAAATAACTGATTAAAATAAGAAATAGAAACAACTGATAGATAAAAAATGAAATAAGAAGATGTTGAGAATACAGAAGTTCAGTGAACCAATTCTTATTATGTTTTTTGTTTGTTTCAAGGCTGTCACTGAAGAGGTTCATAAAAAGGTTATAGAGAAAGTACACACGACTCAAACTACCCAGTTTCGAACTGTTCACTTGAATAATATCCCTGTCCAAACTGTAGGCGGGAAAGTCATTGGTGAGTGAAATCTGGTAGATGTTTTTATGTAATACTTTTGTAATAGTAGACCATTGTTTCTTTTTTTCAAATTAAGCTTGCCTTGTTATTGACGTTAGTTGAATGAATCAAAATTTAAAATTGTAGAAAATAAAAGTTAAACTGTAGAGGTTATGCTTAGAACCAGGTTAATATGAAGGTTTCGTGCTGTATCTACCTTAAAGGAAATGTTATTTTATAAGCAGTGGTTAGAATTTGGTTAACAGGAACAGGTTTCATGCTGTATCTACCAGAAAGGAAATGATACTGTAGAGGTAGTGGTTAGAATCTGGTTAAAATGAACAGGTTTCATGCTGTATTTGCCAAATGGGAAATGGTACTGTAGAGGTAGTGTTTAGAATCTGGTTAAAATGAACAGGTTTCTTGCTGTATTTGCCAAATGGGAAATGTTACTGTAGAGGTAGTGGTTAGAATCTGGTTAACATGAGCAAGTTTCATACTGTATTTACAAAATAGGAAATGTTACTGTAGAGGTAATAGTTACAATATAGTAATTGGGTCCTGTATTGTTTTCATGATGAACTCATGAAAGGATGTCATTAATGAACTCTTTGATAATCTTTTACTTTTTAACCTTGAGGTAATCTGATGGAAATATGTCACTTATTGGTCCTGAGATTAACTGTTACTTTTTATTTTTCAGATAAACTGTCATTTGTTAACTAAGGTAACCTGAAGTAGATGTATCACTTGTTGATATGGATGTAAATTAGTAGAAGAAATGTTGCTTTTTAAACTTAAGGGGATTTAGTAGAATTTAGATGGCCTGAAGATGATACGATTCTTGTTACCCTGAGAAGGTAGATGTGATTTGATAAACCAGTATGATACTTGCTGTGTTATCCTGGTTGTATAAATTAGACAAGATGTGTAACTGCTAGCCTGATAACGATTTAAAAATAGAACATCGTAGGGGAATATTTCAAGCCTATAAGTTTATGTGCTGTTTTAGTGTTAATCCTATTTTTAACATTGTACACTTTGAAATGAATGATTGGTATTTTAGTTACTTATATAAAAGCCTAAAGTGTTTGCATTTTGTTTAATAGGGATCATTACAAATCAGTAGTTTTTAGCTAATGTTGATTTTGGAACTCATAAAGAACTAAATTGTAAAGCTATGTATATTGATGATGTTTACATTTGTAAAGCTTTATAACAACAAAATTGAAATACCTATGGTATTAATTTTTATTTGTAGCTGAAGTAAGGATGCCATCAGGAAAGGGGGATAAACCAACCATCATAGACAACCATGATGGTACAGTCAGTATTAAATATGAACCAAAAGAAGAAGGACTGCATGAACTACATATCAAGTACAACAATGAACACATACAAGGTAATCAAAATAATTCATACTTAGAAATATTTCATGTTTTTGAAAATGAACAACACAATTCTCATGTTATGATAAGTTGAGCTACAAGGAAATCTATTAATATATATATATGTCGTGTGTGCATTTGTATCCTTACACTAGTAAAAACATTGTAACATTTATAATGCTTTTTTGTTTTTACTTTTACAAGAGGCATTAACTTTTCACTTTATTAACAAATAATGAGTGGGTGGGTGTTAAGCCTTAACCAGTCTAACAGTTAAGTACCAAAAGGTTTCTTAATTTCATTACTTACTTTGTTCTTGTAGTAAAGTGAAAAATATCTTTATTTGTTAGTCAGTTAGGCTCTGCTGTAATAATAACTGTCAGTTATTGCTGGTCTTAATTGTTTGTAATTTTAAGATTGGTTTCTGTTATGGTATAAGCTTAGCTCTGAAAGTTTTAGGTTCTATAACTTAAGTAAACCAAAGTACAGTTAGTTCTAAAAAAGTATTCATTCTTACTATAAAAGCTGTACCTTATAATAAGGTAATCTCACTATAATGGACATATCATGTATTTATGTATGTGACCGAAATAATAAATACAATGTGGCGCCATCTACTAAACGGAACCATAAAAACTTTTACACTTTGGGTATTCAAGATTCAGACAATTATAAAAATAACTACTGTATGTGCAACAACCATTTCTTGATCACAGAACACAATTTTAAATAAAAGTACTTTCCTCACAACTAGAATATGACTTTCACTAGGACTATACATGAGGGTTTGATTATATCTTTATTGATGTAATTTGTAAATACAGTACTAAAAAAATGGAGTTCTTAAAAAAATTTTTATTTTTTCAATAAAGGGTATAATTTTTAATATATAACAACGTTACAGTTTATATCAGCACTTTTCAGATGCAGTACTTCCCAAATAAAGTGAACATTTTCTAAATTTTTTTCATTGAGGTATGAATACTAGTATTAGTAATTACTGGTGCAAACAGCTGCTCATTGAGCGCATTCCTGCTAGTACCTATAATAAGATTGTTGAATGTTGATTTAAACACTTAAATCTTGTATACTTGAGAATGATCGAAACAGTGATCAAAGCATCATACCTGTTCCAAAAAGTATTCATCCTTATTGTAAAAGCTGTAACTTGTAATAAAATAATACTTATAATCAGTAAGTAAATTAGAAATTATTTCGTGTATTGTTTCTTTGGTTGTGTATTTATAATCAATCAGCCATTAGTGATTTATAGAGTAACTTTCCTTCTGGTAGCATTTAATTATTCTGTCTTAATTAAAACTTTCTCTATTGATTAATTGGTAGGTTATGTCCACAACTTTTTTGTGATGAGTAATTTTTGTGTTTTTCTTAAATTTACAGGCAGTCCATTCAAATTTCATGTAGATACTTTGGCTAGTGGAAATGTGACAGCTTATGGTCCTGGTCTTACACATGGTACTGCAGGAGAACCATGCAACTTTACTATTTACACCAAAGGGGCAGGATCAGGTTTGTGTTTAAAAAATCAGTTACTTATTAGTTGTGTTTTTTTTAAGATTTCTAACTAGCAGTGTATATTTTTTTATATATTTCTTCTCTTATCACATGATTTGTTTATTATCTGTGTTTGTAGGGAACTATTAGTTTCCAGTTTTACTTATACATTTAATTTCCATTTTAAAGTTTTCATGAATATGTAATTCCGTACTGGACTAAGTTTGCTAGTAACATCATGGTTTTACTCAGCATTAGAAAGCTCTCAGTAAACCTGTCATTGGCTGAGAGAGAGTGAAGATCCATGTGTTACACAGAAGCTGTGTTATAGTAATGATGTGAATCTTAAAAAGGAAACAAAGATATAATGAAAGATACTGTGTGTGAAGAATTTATCATAAATTTATCATGTTGCGCTGAATATGTTTTACTGTCCTTCAGAAAACTTGTTACCATGAGGCATGCATTTTGCTAGATATGTGTTAACCAGTTTTCAGAGAATGTTTTACCATCAGGAAAGTGTTGCGCTAGATATGTGTTAACAATTTCAGAGAATGTTTTAGCATCAGGAATCTGTTGTGCTAAATGTGTGTTAACTTTTTACCATCAGGAAAGTTTTGTACTAGATATGTGTTAACTATTTACCAGAGAATGTTTTACCATCAGGAAAGTTTTGTGCTAGATGTGTGTTAACTATTTACCAGTGAAAGTTTTACCATCAGGAAAGTGTTGTGCTAGACATGTGTTAACTATTTACCAGTGAAAGTTTTACCATCAGGAAAGTGTTGTGCTAGATGTGTGTTAACTATTTACCAGAGAATATTTTACCATCAGGAAAGTGTTGTGCTAGATATGTGTTAACTATTTACCAGAGAATATTTTACCATCAGGAAAGTGTTGTGCTACATGTGTGTTAACTATTTACCAGTGAACATTTTGCCATAAAGTAAGTGTTGTGCTAGATTATTTTTTTAAATTTGTATGGATTGTGAATTGAGTGCTTACAGAGTAATTGCTTTGGTATGGTCACGTTCTAGGTGGCTTGTCTGTAGCCGTTGAAGGACCTTCAAAAGCAGAAATCACGTGCCATGACAACAAGGATGGAACTGTCAGTGTTTCTTATATTCCAGCAGCCCCAGGAGAATACAAGATTATGGTCAAGTTTGCCGATAAAAACATCATCGGAAGCCCTTTCACAGCCAAAATCACTGGTGCTTACTTTAAAATCTTAAATAGATTGTGTATCTTTTTCTGTACTAGTAAAAGCATAACCACTTATATCACTAGAATAAATTGTTATTGTACCTTACAGAATATTAATTTTCTTTTACTTAAGGAAGTAATATCTGTATGTTATATTTGTTTTAATGACTCATTCACATTTCCTGTTATATATCTGAGATTGAGTGTTGAAACAGAAATTATTTTCTTCTACTCTCAGTTTATACTTCCAAACTATGTGTCTTGTTCCACAGCATCCCTGGATCCAGCTTCAGGGAGGGACATTTCAAGGAGAACTGTCCCTCACCCTAGTGCCAGCCCTGAACCTCAGAATGTTTAATTGCAAAGACTGATAGATAAAAGTTATTACAGTAATTCACTCACTTTGAAGATATTTTCATTATCATTTATATTTTTACATTGCACTTAAAGTACCAAGAACCAGGAAAACAGTATAGCATGAAAATTAGAAAAAATGCTCAAATACATGAATATACTTCAAAGTTTTTTTTTCAAGATGGGTTTCAGCAGCATATTTGATATGTAAGCAGTGTTTTTGTGGATGATTGAATGGGGTGATATGTAATATACTAGTTGTACTTGCACAAGGTCCCCAAAAGTGTTCTGCTTCAAGAGTAAATAAAACCAAAGTTAAGATTAACAAATATTTTTATTTCTTGCTTTTAATATTCATATGTCATGCTGTGTTGTAGCCTACGGAGTGCGTAATTCTTGTCATGATTCATGGCACGTGCACATTTTACTGACGTCATGACAGTACAAATTTTAATGCTAAGCATCCCTTATGTTACATCATTTTAGTATCTACTGACTAACTGACAGACAACATATTACTGTATAGTGGTGGAAGTAGTTAAAACAGGTGGCTTTAGGTCCCCAACAACAGCAGCAGAGAGAGCTCCACCTATCTCATCATGAGATTGGCCCTTAAAAGGGTCTTACTGATTTTATTTTTGGCAGATTTTTAAATATAGTTACAGCTGCTGCAGTTTTCCATCCCATTGTTTTGAGAAATTTTCGATTTATTGTGCTTTAGATCAAAAGTTTCTTAGTTATTCCTTAAGTTTTAGACAGAGTCCAAAATTTTGCACCATTTCTGTTTACACCTTGTATTGTGAATGCAAAGCTATAGAAGATGTTTGTGGATGTACAAGACTTACTGTGTCAACACTTTCTTTAAGTTGTTAAATCATTGTTCCTGTCCTCACAGTGTAGAGTTTTCCAAACTGGAGGTATTCAGCTGTTTAGCTCTTGGGAATAAACTTCTAAATTTGTGGGTCAAGCTGGGTACAGAAAGTAAATAGACGTTTGTCTCTGTGTGTTACATAAGCGCATTTGAATAATTTAAGGTATCCATTTGCTTGAAGTGTTTTTTGGTAAGCTGTGTTTTTTTTTTATATCTACACTGTATTGTGTATTTCAAATACTTCCATGCTTGACTGAGTGTAGATGGATGGAACTATAATGCAGTTTCTGCAGAGTGGTGCTCTATAGACTTGTAGATGAATGGCATTTGTAGCAAAAGATGTTACAATGCCCAGAAAAGTTAATTGACCAATCTCACCTCTCTCTCTTTCACTGTAAACTGAATACTTTTATTCCTGGAATTCAGGAGTTGATAAAAATCAACAATATCATTGAAGTTACATTTTTATATTCTTATCTTCAGGTGTGAGAAGGTAATTGATTACAGGTCAAAAAGAGGAACCCCTAGCTAAGCCACTGTTCTGTTTATAGAAGGAACCATTGAAATGGAAATAGGTTGTGTGAAATAAGTTCCATGAAGTAAGTTTGAATCTGCTCTTAGCATCTATTGGAAAACTGTTAGACAATCATATATTAGTCTGGTTTGGAACATATTTATGAGGACAGAACTGACAATTAGGTCTTCGGGTTGATTAGAAATGTTTTTATTTTTGTGGTGAAAATTCTGATTTTGGTTAGTTGAAAGTCACTAGCATGTAGGAGAGGTAATAAACTAGTTGGTGACAAAATAAACCAAGATTATTTGCATCTGGTCCAAAAGAAATATCCCATAATAATTGAACAGATAACAGACTAGTTGGTGACAAAATAAACCAAGAGTATTTGCATCTGGTCCAAAAGAAATATCACATAATAACTGAACAGATAACAGACTAGTTGGTGACAAAATAAACCAAGAGTACTTGCATCTGGTCCAACAGAAATATCACATAATAATTGAACAGATAACTGACTAGTTAGTGACAAAATAAACCAAGAGTACTTGCATCTGGTCCAAAAGAAATATCACTCTTTGGTTCAAAGTTGCTTGGAGGAAGAGATTTGTTGGTTGTTCATTTGACTGGGGTTTTATTTCTTCTTTTAACTAGTTAACTCAGTTTTTCACTTTGTATGAATTTGATTTTTGTTTATAAATGGTAATAAATTCTTTGTAAGATAGTAAATATATTAATAACATATTTGGCTTTAAAATATAAAAAAGTGGGTTCTTCAGTAACTCCGTATTGGCCTGTAGGTGCATTTTCTTCTGTTTCCAAAGTTATGCAGTAGGAAATAAATTTTTACCAGAAGCACTTTAAAGAATTTCTGAAAAAAAGTAGAAGGAATGAGCAGTTGCAAGTTCAACTATAGAGAATCTGGGTGATATACAAGTCTTGATATTGTAATAAAAAAAGTTAGTTGGTCCTTGAACTTGACTAGTTTAAGTTTTAAGAACATTGAAGTTGTAACGACTATGGTAAAGTCATAGTCAAATTTCTGTCAGTCTAAGAACCATAACAGGTGTTAAATTTTTTGTACCTTTATTTTTATGTTTGATTGACCTGTTATTTTCTCTTTCCTTGACTTATAACTGAGTAATCAGATTTCAGTTTTCTCATGTTTTCTTTGAATTTATGTTTTTTATTTCTTAATTATACTGTTAATTAATTTTGTATTTTAATGAATCATGTTAAAGTTTATATTTTATTTGTTACTTCAGGTGAAGGGAGAAAAAGAAACCAGATATCAGTTGGCCACTCCAGTGAGGTTTCCTTGAAAGTACAAGAGAAAGACATTAAAAATCTCAGTGCTAGTATTGTAGCACCCTCTGGCATGGAAGAGCCTTGTTTTTTAAAGAAACTGCCCAATGGCCACCTTGGTGTGTATTTAATGTTTATATGTATTTTTTAAACATGTCAATACACCTGTTTACAAGCAAAATAATCTAACACGACACTAAGAGATGAGTCATTTTATATCTTGTGTAAAAGCTTAGGTTTGCATATAAAGTATTGCAAATAAAAGAAATTAAAGTTGCCTTCTATAGTTTTCCTGTTTCTGAACTGTCAGCTTCTGAACTTGTTGACCATAGTTTTCAGTGCATTTTGCATAACTTTTGTAACATAAAATCAGTGATTTGGAGAAATAAGCACAGCATGAAAAATAATTTTTATCAGTAGCCACAGTCCTGAAAAACTGCAAATGCTTACAAACTATGTTGCTTAACTTTGTCATTTATTGGTATATATTAACATGATCTAGACATGCATGTTATTTTATGTGTTGTAATTATGTAATTCCTTATATTTGATGAGTTCTTATATAAATATGTAAATATGTAACTTTAATTGTCTACCATCCAGTTTCAATGCTTGTGTTTAAAAATATTTGTCCACAGGACATTATAACCAAATTACGTGTTAAAGTGGTGTTAATTAGGTAGAACTATGAGCAAAAGTTTAAAGTATAAGTTTATCATATAAGTGTGTTTTCAGTTCTGGAAAATGTGGAATTTTGTGTAGAAAGTCAGGAAAAAAGTTTGAAAAGAATGGAGTCAGTTTGCTTATATACACACATCACTTATCAAAATAAAAATATTCCCTCCAGTTTTGTCCTTATGTTGATAACACAATACAGGTTGTTGTTGAGTACCATGTAAAAGAACAAGGCAAATTTTCAGAAATAATATTGCAGAGTTTGGGGTAAGTTGAATTTATTTACTGAAGCTCTGTTTGGCTTTCATTCAGGAATCTCCTTCACCCCTCGAGAGGTGGGACAACATGAAGTTCTTGTGACAAAGTTTGGCAAACCAATCCGTGGCAGTCCTTTCAAAATTGATGTCCTTGAGAGAGAGATAGGTGATGCATCCAAAGTGAAAGTCAGTGGATATGGGATTAAAGAGGGCAGGACTCATGAAAACAATGAATTCATGATTGACACCAGGCAGGCGGGTTAGTATGCTTGTCAAACTGTAATTATACGATGTATCTTTCTATAAACAAATTGTAGAACACTAAAAAAATGGTCTGTCTTTACTGTGACATAGCTTGTAAAAGTCAGTGGCAGTAAATATCTTTATATAGTCTTAAACATTGCATCGCCTTTTCTCTGTGTGTTGAAATAAAACATTTTAGCAACAAGTTTACTTGTGACTTTTCTGCTCATACTAAAACTACCACAGAAAAACAAAGTATGTAAGCTTATAATTATAATGGTTGTTTTATTGACAGTAAACATACTTCTTTAATGCTAGTGTGTGGCATAAGGGTTGTTTTATTGACAGTAAACATGCTTCTTTAATGGTAGTGTGTGTGGTGTAATGGTTGTTTTATTGACAGTAAACATGTTTCTTTAAGGCTAGTGTGTGTGTGGTATAATGGTTGTTTTATTAAAAATAAACCTGTTTCTTTAAGGCTAGTGTGTGGCATAATGGTTGTGTTATTGACAGTAAACATGTTTCTTTAAGGCTAATGTGTGGTATAATGGTTGTTATTGACAGTAAACATGTTTCTTTAAAGCTAGTGTGTGGTATAATGGTTGTTTTTTTTGACAGAAAACATGATTCTTTAAGGCTAGTGTGTGGCATAATGGTTGTGTTTTTGACAGTAAACATGTTTCTTTAAGGTTAGTGTGTGGTATAATGGTTGTTTTATGGACAGTAAACATTCTTCTTTAAGGCTACTGTGTGGTATAATGGTTGGGTTATTGACAGTAAACGTTTCTTTAAGGCTAGTGTGTAGTATAATTTGGAACATTTATTTGTATAAACTGTGTAACAAAGTGTAAGCTGTACTAAATTGAATGAAACATTTTCTTGATTTCCATCATAATTACCTTTGTATAATATAGTTTAGTGTCTTTGTAACACTTCCTTGCCATAATCTTGTAACTTTATCTAATTAGTATCATAAAGTATTTAATAGTTGTGGGACTTGTATTAAGACCTTTTGTTCTTGATGCATGTTATAGTAGATATCTTGGCATTTAAACAAGTTTAAGTGTTTATCTTTTAATTTTTTCTTCTCCTTTTACTTTGCTAATGAGTCAGAGCAATCTTATCCCTGAAATTTTAAGAAATACACCTGAAATGTTTTGAATCTACTTATTTTAGTGTTGCATAGAAAGAGTTACTCTGTTTCCTTGTCTCTCTCTCTTTTCCTTGTCTCTCTGTGTGTTTGGAAACTACATGTGGCTATATCAATATTACAGGCTATGGTGGACTGAGCCTTTCTGTAGAGGGTCCTAGCAAGGCAGAAATTAGCTGTAAAGACAACGAGGATGGAACACTAAATGTATCCTACAGACCTACTGAACCTGGTTACTATATAATTAATCTCAAGTTTGCCGATCATCATGTATCAGGTAAATCTGTATTCTTAAAAAAGGTTTGTGGGAATTCTTATCATCTGTTGATATGCAGGTTATGTCAACTAAGTCTTCAACCTATAGCAATAACTTCTTCCCATTTATGCAAACCCATTAAATTACAGAAAGTCATTAGCCCTATCAGGGCATCAGATCGACTACTATAAACGTCCATCATCACTGTGGAAAATTTCATTGAAGTCGTTTTCTTTTTGCTTGTAAGTTGATCCATCAACCTCAGTTACACTTTCCACGAAATGAAAATTTTATCTTGAAAAAAAATGTACTGCTACAGATTATTTCATAAGTAATGATTTCTTAAGAAATCTTATACATGGTAGAACAGCCACAAAACAACAAGTCACAATGACGAATGTGGTGTCAACTCAACAGTAACATGTGAATTTTCTTTGATATGCAGAATTACAGATTAAAAGAACTGCCAAACGTGTTACACAAAGTGTACTTAAAAGCTTAGTGAGCAACAAACAGTTTTGAGTTTAAGTGAAATTTTGATGAGCAACACTTTGAGAGATTCACATTATCCAACACATTTGTTTAGCTGAGATATTCATGTGTCACTACAGGAAGTCCATTCACGGTCAAGGTGGCTGGCCCAGGTTCCAACATCCAGAGGGAGAACATAAAGAAACAGAGAGATGCTGTGCCCATCACTGATGTAGGCTCTGAATGTAAGCTGACTGTCAAAATGCCAGGTTAGTAAATAATTCACGAGGAAGTATATATATATGGTTTAATATTAATATTCCACTGAGTTTCTTTTTATATTCTGTATCTTGAATGAGATTTATTTTCACCCTTACCTTCTGTTGACTGTGTATAATGCTGTCAGATAGAAAACTTGAGATATTTTCAATCAAAACGTTTATGAATTAGCTTTTTTTGTCTTTTTTTTTCTATTTACTTGAGCAAAGCTCATGATATCTTTTGAGCTGGAAAACCTTTAATTTAATTGAGTCTGCTCTCAATTTATACTGTGGTAAACATATCTCCTCAGAAGACTTCAAGATAAGATTAAATTTGTTTTAAACACATTTTAATTTTGTGTTTGTGTTGTGATTTGCCCAGTAATGGATGATGTATTAAAACAACTGTTGTTTAATATGGTTAATAATTGTATCTGTTTTTCAGTTTATTCATAGCCCATAGAATTGGTCTGCAATCACTGATTTGGGTAAAATTAAATGAATCATTGAATAGGAGAATTGAAGAGATTTTATTAATTTTTGTTTTTGGCATTAAATGAGTGCAGAAGTGAATGACCAGTTATCTTGAAATGATGTTTATTTTTGTCCTAAACCTAGAGGTTAGTTTGTTTGAATTGTGAATCTGAAGGTTCAGGGTTCGTGGGTGTGTTATAAAAGTAACAGTTAAGTAGCCAAAGAGTTGCTAGTGGGTGTTTCTTACTAACTGCCTTTCTTCTAGTTTATCAGTTGAAAATATGCACAAATAACCATTTTTGTAATTTTGCACAAACATTCTGTAACAAACACAAAACTTTTACAGTTTCTGCAGAATAATTATTATAGAATTAATTTTTATTATTGGGAATCTATTCTAATCTTTTTAACATTAGTGTTAAGAGTTTCAAGTCAATTTTAATGACTATAGATACATGGTACTCTCAAGTTAAACTGATTGCCTTTAAGAATATCAAGTAGGTCCTCTTTATAACAGGAAGATCAACAGGATAAATCATGAAGTAAGTGAATTTATCAGAAGTAACTGAGTTCAAGTAAAGAAAGAAGCTGACTGGACATGATGTATTATATAAAATTAAAACAACCTGCTAAGTTGAATGGATAAACACTAGCATACTAGCTTTCTAGACACTGGGGATTCTCCTGTTACTTGACTTGTGAATTGATCACCGAATTTTCATCCCTCCAGATGTATTTTCTTCAACTGACTCACTTGAGGTCCTGAGTAGTCTGTTGAAATCTAATGTTTAGTACTTAATGGGAAACTCCATATTTATTTATAGCAACAAGCACTATCCATGTAACTGGTCATTCTCATTCAACATAGGGGTGGCTGTAACCTCAAGATATCTGTCATTGACCTTCTTGCACAATGTGCAGCGTTATTTTCTGTTGGTGGAGCGGGTATTTTCTGTAGAGAACAAGAAAGGTAGCTTGAACAAAGCCAACTTAATAGCTTTCCAAAACATTTTCCTGAATTGAAAATTTATTTCCAATAATACTTACCTCCTCTCACACTTGTAGCTATTACTTACTGCCAGGGTCTCTTTCTTTACCCATCTAAGCATTGGTTGGTCTGATTTTTTCTCACTTGCTCTAATCTTCTATACCTCACTCAATTGTCCCTGGCAATATTTATCTCGTAATACTCTCCACCTATGTCAATGCGCCCTCTATCCAGGCACTGCATATAAGCATCTCATTCAGATAATGTTATCACTTTTCAACAACAAAGCGTTGCTAATGGGTTTCCAAGTATTACGATTGTTTGGAGATACTTTGAATGTTATCCGTGTTTTCTACTTGATTTTCATACTAATTAAAGAAAAAATTAATAATATTCTGATTGGCAAGTCAATTTACAGTATGAATTCCAGAATTATTATTTTTGACATGAAGACAAATCAGGTTTCTCCTATCCCACCTCTGATTCTGATTTCTATCTATCATCTTACAACAATCAGGGGTAGGTGGGTTAATTCTCAATTGAGACTGCCAGTGATCTTATTCATAGTGAGATGGAGAAATATTTTAGGTTCTGTAGAGGTCCTCCTT